GCAAGCCTTTCATTCTTGTTAGTGTTCGACTGTTGGCAGCTGATAAAACTCATTTGCTCTACTGAGGTATAAACTCCTGGTTAGCTCATTTCTCAGTTGGTAGAGCGCTAAACTAAAATTGGAGAGGTTTCGATACCAGGTTCATGCGGATTTTTTTAGGTCCCTCACCTCTGTTTGGAGATTTGTGTTTGTCCCTTGTCCCCCTTGTTCCCCTTCTCCAGGGATTATTATAATCGTCTTTGCATCTTTGCATTTAATTGCATTATAACCTTAACCTCAAAATGCAAACTGTTCACCCTTGGTGGTGTACGACGGGGGGCAGCTGTTAAAAAGTCGGCTGCTTTACTGACGTCTAGGTCCTGTTTAGCTCGGTTGGTAGAGAGCTCCACTGGAAATGGAGAGGTCCCTGGTTCCAGCTATGTTGGGCAATTTATGTTTGTCCTTTCTCCCCCTTGTATCTCTTCTCCGGGAATTATTTTCATCATCACGCTGTCGCCGGCCGCGATCCTGGCGGTGTCTCAGGAGAGGTGGCAGATGAGGCAGACGCCTGTTCTGGCGTAGATCGCCTTGCAGCTATACAGGTCACGGAAGCTTGAGCTGCTCGGAGCTGGGACGCCGTGATGACAGCGGCCCTCGAGTTCGCCCATGCGTTTTGCCGGAACTTCTAGGAGCAACCACCAGGGTCGCGACATCCGACAGCGTAACGCTCGGGCTTATGTGACGTCATTTGTTGCCGCTTCGGGACAACTTGCGATTCAAGGGCAAATCAGAATGACACACCAGTCGAGGACCGGTTACAGTCACTGTTATAATGTGAGCCCTCTGGACAGGTCATTTGTCAGAATTGCATGGTTCCCAGACGCGAGTGATCGACATTAAAAATGAAATCTGTAGTAAATTTAACTTCAATATTGCGAAACTGGGTGTGTCTGCTAAGTGACTTACGAGGATTTATTGACTTAAACAGAGCAAATAAGGAAGCTTGTTTGCGCTTTTTAAGTCAACATGTCTAACCAACTCACCCAGCAACTCATTTTGGTACGAGGATTTATATCCAGCCCTATCTAACGCTTTTAGTTCGAAGCGTTACCTCTTTAAGGTCGGGACGAGACGAGGTTTACGGAGGCTTTTAGCTACAGCGCTAACTATATCAGTCCGAAAACAACGGTCATTTAATATTTTTTAGAGCGCAGCTCTTAGGGGCCCGTTCCCGGCTTGAGCGGCGTCGCCGTCGGCGTCGCCGTTGGCGTCGCCGTCGCCGTCGGCGTCGGCGTCGGCGTAACCAAGGTCATCCCAAGGTCACGTGACCCCCAAGGTCACGTGACCCCTCCCAAGGTCATCTCAAGGTCACGTGACCCCACGTGACCCCCTGAAGGTCACGTGACCCCTCGAGGTCACGTGACCCCTTCCAAGGTCATCTCAAGGTCACGTGACCCCAAGATGACCCCACGTGACCCTTTGAAGGTCACGTGACCCCCAAGTCACGTGACCCCTCTGAGGTCACGTGACCCCCGAGGTCACGTGGTCGCCTCCCCAAGGTCACGTGACCCCCGAGGTCACGTGGTCGCCTCCCCAAGGTCACGTGACCCCCGAGGTCACGTGACCCCCAAGGTCACGTGACCCCTTCTAAGGTCATCTCAAGGTCACGTGACCCCACGTGACCCCCAGGTCACGTGACCCCTCTGAGGTCACGTGACCCCTCTGAGGTCACGTGACCCCCCGAGGTCACGTGACCCCTCCAGGTCACGTGACCCCCAAGGTCACGTGGGGTCACCTTTGGGGTCACGTGGCCTTGAGGTCACCCCCAGGTCACGCCTCCCCGAGGTCACGTGACCCCCTCCCCGAAGTCACGTGACACCCCCCCCCGGAGCATATTAAAGAATGAGGGGAGGAGGAGGAGAAGGGGGAGGGGTCTACCCTCCCCTCAGTACCCTTCACTCCTCCTCCTCAAGAGCTGCGCTCCAATTCGGCGTTACAGGGATTTGTAAACGGCTTTCACTTTTTTCCTATGACTGTGGTCTGGCATAACAGCGAATTTTATTATGATTTGTAAAGATCAAAGTTTGTACTTATTATTACATAAAATTATTTGTTTCTGAACGAAAATGGTTAACGGAAGGTTTAGGAGTTACACTTTTGGTTATTCGAACTGAGTCACTTGTAGAAGCAAACACAATAGAAAGCTGTATGTTTTAAAGCATAAAAAGTTTTTGAACTGCCCCCCCCCCCCTCCATTCCTAACATCTTGTCCGTCCGACCGTCCGTTCACCCGTCCGTGTATGTTCCGCTAAAATTAGTGGGAAACTTTACGTCATGTGACCTAAACTCCAATTCCTTTCCCCGCTAAATGTATCAAAAAAATATAATCTAGGATGATTTCATTCACAGACCAAATAGTTTTCCCGCTAAATTTAGCGGGAAAATTGCCGCCCACCTGATCTCATGTCACGGTAATCAAAGTGACGTCAAGTAACGTGAGGGAAAACTTTGTTGTCACGTGACCTGACGTGATGGGACCAATTTCCCCACCAAATCTAGCGGGGAAACCGCTAGATTTGGTGGGGAAATATGTGACGACCTATAAAAATCATGTCAATTTCCCTGCTAAATTTAGCAGGCAACTTGACTTCGCTATACATGACATCACGTGACCTGTAAACCATTTTAGTTTCCCCCTGTATTTGGCGGACAAATGGACTTCACGTTAGCAATGCACCCTGTTGCTCCGATAAATGTATTGGAGAAATTAATAAATATGTAGGGGTTTTTCTCGCTCCCCGAAATGACTGTTCAATGTCTTCCGACCAAATTTAAATGGTGGCTCTCTAAATACTGGATTTCGTGCAGTGTTGTAAGCATTAGCGAAAAAAAAACCAAAGATAATATTCTCCTCATTCCTTGCAAATAAAAAGAACGCGTTACTGGCCAAAAACACCTAAAAATTAAATAAACGCGTTACCGTTATTGAAAAAAAGTTAACTCGCGTTATTTTTCCATACATTTTTTTGTATGAATTATACAAGTTTATTGTTTGGCGTTACAGGTATCTATAAACACCATACTCGAATAAACATTATCCCCATGCAGAAACTAATCATAATAACCTTCTTTGTTGTGATTCCACCTGAATACTCGCAAAAACGAAAAATGCAAATTATAAAAAACCTTATAAGAACGCTCCACTCGAAATGGAGAGGTCCCTGGATTGATACCAGGACCAGGTGGATTTTTTTCAGTTTCGCACCAGTCACCTAGCTGTGTTAAGAGATTGATGTTTGTCCTATGACCCCTTATTCCCCTTCTCCAGGATCATTATTATCATTATTCTAGTCCAGCTAGCTTGTACCATTGCATTAAGTGAATTATCGTCCTAACCTTAAAATGCAGGCCGTTCATCCTTGTTGGTGGTAGACTTCTAAACCCTGGTTAGCTCAGTTGGTAGAGCGCTCCACTGGAAATGGAGGCGTCCCCGGTGCAATACCAGAACCAGGTGGAATTTTTCAGTCGCGCACCATAGATTTGCTATGAGATTTGTGTTGGTCCTTTGTACCCCTTGTTCCCCTTCTCCAGCGATTATTATTATCGTCATTATTGTCCAGCTCGCTTGCACCTTTGCAATAATTTCATTAGCATTATATGCATTGGAGCCTAGAAACACATCAAAGTGTTCATTGTTTGTTTTTTAGACTTGTGAAGACGTAACAAGGATAGGGTGACCACCTTCCTGATAGCGAAATGCGGGACACGCAGGGCAGGCCGGGGGAGGAGGGGGGGGGGGGGGTAGAGGAAATTTATTTACACGCACACCACGAACCGAGGCTCTGTTAACAGATTTAATATCCTGTGCTGTTTATACACCTGCTAATTGTATTGCAACAATTAAGCTCAAATAATTTGCACTTCCAGTGATATATATTTTTATGCCAAACCTGTTATTAAATGAGTCAAAATTCAGAACATAAAAATCGACTGAAGCAGAACTCAATGCATCAAACGGAGTAAAGAAACAGTAAATTTTTTGGGCTTATAGTTTCCTGTCAACGCTTAATTTTATCAACATGGCCCTACAGAAATTTTTAACATTATGTTCTTTTTCGACCGTTGTGAGTGGCAGGCTAGCTTTTGCATTGTGTAGCTGTCTTCACGAAAAAAAAAAAAATTCACGGCAACCTTGTTCGCATTGACACAGCGATATGAAAATAATGACAATATTTTACATTTAAACTTTTGGCGAGCAATTTTTCTTACAAGATTTTACCACCAAGGGGAGAGAGACAACAAAGAATGAGCATAGTTGTAAACTCGAGACTGGGTATACGGACAAGGGACAAACACAGAACGACACTTCGTCCTTGTCGTTCTGGGTTTGTCCCTTGTCCGTATCCCCAGTCTCGGGTTTACAACTATGCTCAATTTACACCAACTAACCTGCGCCCTCAACATTGCTTCATAAGAATGAGCGTCGGTTCTGCTGCAAGAACGACGGTCGCTTCCCGCAATGCCTGGATAGAAAATAACGTACCATTGCGATTCACACGATTACCAGCGACCTCCGTGCTTCCCCGTGCCCCGTTGTTCGGCAGCGCCATGGGTTGCAGAGTAAACTTTACGACAGGATGAAATGCGGGACATTTTGAAGATTTGGAAATTTCTCGCGGGACGCGGGACGCGAGCCCTCAATGCGGGACAGTCCCGCGAGGCGCGGGACGGGTGGTCACCCTAAACAAGGAACGTAACAACGTTACCTCTTACTCGAAGTAAGTAATGTAGGTATATACTATACTTTACAGTATTAAGAAAAAAGTAACGAGTACGTTACTAAGTCAGCGAAAATAGTAACTAGTTACTGGCAAAGACGTAACGCGGTATTACCACCAACAGTAATATCATGCTGTATAGGACATCGGAGATAAAGGTCGTTGCCATTTTTTTTTTACTTTTTTTCTTTATGTTTTCTACAGAGCGAACAGAGATGGGAGCGGATGACAAACACAATGCACCTCTCCGACGCCAATGACGCTTGGGAGGTTGAGGTCAATAGGATCTTGGCACAGTGCTGTCTCATTCAAGGCGAACAGAGTGCAAGTCGTCCCCACCAGGGTTGCCAGCAGATCGCAGAGTCCATCGAGCAGTTCCACCGCTATGCCTGCGAGGATGACGTCGAGTGGCAAGCGCAGACGAAACAAATGGCTTCCCACCACTTAAAGCTTCGCGTTTATCGTTGATCGGAGCGGTATAAAGGCTTGGAAGGGACGGCGGAAAAGCAAAACGCTCACAACTTCAGTAGACTGCCATGCATGTCCGGGATCGCAGCCGGTGCTTTATAATACAATCGATTACCGAAGCTTTAAAATGGCTACTTCATAGTCACTGACACCGTAAAAACAAACTGATTTTTTTTTTTTTTTATCAGGAACATTGCGACATTTTGAACGTAGACACCTTAAACTTTATGCGCCTAGAGTATGGTTCGAATTTCATCATTAGGAGCGACGTGATCTTCAATTAAAATTAGCAGGCAGCCCTGCCTGCCGAGCGCAAGAGAACAAAACTGTACAAGGTAACACCAGCGAAAGTAACGTCATGGGTGGGGTCAGGTGCCCCTTGCTCTCCCTTAACCTGGATTGTGGATACCGATGATTACGTCACGATGACTTGGGCAGATATTAAGCGGCAGCGAGGAACTTGCCACGTCCTGCAGCACTTCAATTATGCAAAATGTAAACCGAGGCTGCGGTCAAAAACGACATATACACCAAAAGGTCTCAAAAGCGTATATGTCGTTTTTGTTGAGACCTTCTAGTGTATGTTTCGTTTTTATCCGCAGTTTCATTTTCTTTTGTGTGTGTGTGTTTAATATTTACCAGCTCGTTTGAGCCCTTACATTCGAATTATCATTTCCAGAAATTTTTTTCTTTTTTTATAATAAAAGCACTTTACGTACACCAATTCAAGCCCGGTAATCAAACTCACGGGACGAAAAGCCTACCCCGAATGCAGTTTTCTTGAGACGTGCTTCAGCTTCCCTTTCAGAAACGCAGTGTGGGTCTGATTATGTTAACTCCTCTTTCTTCGGGATTGGTTTTTCAGCGTTCGCACTGACTAATCCGCAATTTCATTGGTTGTGAAGCGCCCTGAGTTTCTTGCATCGTCAGTGACTGTAATGGCGGTGATGGAAGTCTAGGGTCTACTACACCATGTTGCGTAATCTCGATCTATCAAAGACACCATTCTTGCGTTTGACAATTGGGGAAACATGACGAGTCATTGGTTTGTGGACACATGCACAATGTGTAATGTTTGGAAAAAAAAGAGGTTCCGCGCACGCGCAGAGCCCCTTGGACAAAAAGGATAGCGCGCATAAGACGGATTAGTGAAAGGGTCTACGCATGGAAATATTTGTGGGGTTCAGCTCTCTACAAATTAAATGTCTTTCTTGGCTCTTCAGTTTCCGATCCTGCACAGGTTACGAAGTCAGCAGAGCGACCCTAGAAACTGACGAAATCTTTTGTCCCGCATTATTCGCGGGAGCGTTAGCTCTTGTCCTGGTTCGTTTGTATGGGTTTAGCTTTGTTGTGATCAACCTGGTCGTAGGTAATAAAAATAGATCAGCGTAAATATATTTTTTTACCGAAACTGAAATTATATGTGCCAATTACCGTTGCACTGTTAAACTGTGTGCTTTGTTTCTTTCCATCCTACGATAATTTTTTGCGAACATGCAGTCATATCTACGCTACATAAATTCAAAGTGCCAAGGTAATAGCATTATTATCACAAAAGCTATTTGGTGATAAACCCCCGAGACTAAGGGAAAAGACGAAGGGCAACATATCACAGAGTCTCAGCTGAGTTGTCCTTCGTATTTTTCCTAATTTCGGGGGTTTGCCTTAAATTATGTTAAACCTTCACCAGCTCCTTTGCACCCCGCCTTTTTGTGAGCTATACTGGTATTTAATAAGGGCAGTTCCGAAATCCATTATTCTATTAGATATCATTTCTTTCTGTCAGATTCGAATTGTCCATGAAAAATAAGCGTATATATATTTTTTTAAGAAAGTTTTAAACGTTTGTTTTATGAAAACTTACAGAAGTATTTATATCTCGCAATTGATAAAATCCCACGAAACAAATTGCACAGCCTCCTGGTTGAGGTCATAAACATCTAAGGCCTGTTCAGATGGCTGCCTCGTTTTCGTTTGTACGCAGCTGAAACATTTATCCGGCACATTTCTTGACAATTTGTTTGGACGGAAGTGAACGAAACTCGTATCTTCAATTACCCAAGCCGTTCCGGTCCACAGCAAGCACCAGCAACTGGATGATGAGATAGAGCTGGGATCCCAAATTCAGGTCCCTGATGCCATCGAGGGCACACTGGGGGGAAAACGGAGGCGTTTAGCTTTATTTAACCTTTCCTTATTTTTTTACGAAAGAAAGCTACGGCGTAAGTTCCATTTATTAGAGATTAAGTGAAATACATTTAATATGAAAAAGTACATACGCTGAGCTACTATTTGATGCCGTCGTGATGAAAAATTTTCTTTATACTTTTTTATTAATGCATAACGGTTAAGCCAGTAGGATTACAAAAATTGTTATTTACTTGAAGCACAATCTGTGAGTATATATGGGCTCTTAGTTAACTTAAAGTTGTTGTTCTTTTTTGTTGTTGTTGTTTTTTTGTCTTTCCGAGAAAAGTACTACCCCCAACTACAAAGTACATTCCAGAAATGTGATCCAGGTGAAATTGTGCGTTCAACGGGTAACAAACAAAGCAGGGACACGGACAGAGTAGAGGACGAAAGACGAACACGGCCCTGACTTACAACTGAGCTTTAGTGGATATGACCCCACGTATAAATGCAAAATTTGCCCGAAACAAAAGCAAAGAAGGGAAACAACACTTAAATAGGTCGACACGTGTCCGTGTTCCTAGAGTCATCGGCGCGCACTGCTGTTCTCCGATCTACAAAGGAACAAGCACTGCTTTACCGAAAAGGCAAGTGACGGGGCACTAACACATTCTCACCCCGCTTGTTCGATAGCGCGTGCTTCTATAATCTCGCGCGTGAGCTTGGTCTTCTGTCTACTGATGGCCGTGCGTATTTTAAAAGGCTGGAGTACATCCGCAGTCGCGGCAGTGCACAGTGTTAGTGTTTCCGAATATTGAACAATGTATTTTGTGAGATAAATAGTTTTATTTTTAAATTTGTGCAACGAATTATTTAAGAAAACTTACTTATGTCCGCAAAAATGTAATCGCTTAGATATAATAAAGTAGGTTTACAAACTAAACCTCCGCATTTCTGTTTAGTTCAATAAAGAGCTTCTACAAGTATGAGGTGTGTAACATATTGATTGTGGGACAACTGCCCTTAATTTGTTTGTTTTTTTTTTATTGAGAGACTTACCTCAACGATGTTTCCTATGACATCCAAAGCTCCTTGCTGCAATCAAAAACCAAAAACAAAAATGGTGATGTACAAGAAAAAAAAATGAAGGACGTTTACAATTTTCTCTAATGCGAAATTAGAGAGCAGCTTTGGAGAAGGATGAAATGAGGGTGCGGAGGGGAGGATAAACAACTCTTCCCTTCCCCTCCTGCTCTCCTTCTCCATTTAGTGCTAAATTTAAAAAAAAAAAAAACAATTTCCACGAAATTTAGCAAAACATTTCCCCGCTAAATTTAGCGGCAAATTTAGCGAAAATTTCCCCGCGAAATTTAGCGGGAAATCTAGAGAAAATTTTCCCGCGAAATTTAGCGGGGAAATTGTTTCGTAATGCAACGCGCGGTTACGTCCGGTTGCATGATTCCCATAATACAACGCACGGGGTTACGCCGACCCCAACGCCGACGCCGCTCAACCCGGAAACGGGCGTCTAAGAGCTGCGCTCTAAAAGGCAACACAAATTTGACCTTCGTGTTTAGTCAGAGTAAGTTAGGTCTTCTTTTAGGTTATCCGAGACGGGTTTACGATGTCGATGAGAAATTCAGTAAGTGCACTTAAATACCGCATGCCGGTACAATGCTGTTCCAGCTCGGGAACGGGGCAGGGGTGGGGACTAAAACCAGCTTCCCTGGGTCCTGAATCGCGAGCTTTCGCTCCACCTTCTAGGAGCTGTGGTCCGCTAACGCGCTCGGCCGCCGATCCCCCTATTTTGATGCACCTCATTCGATATTTTGTAGGGTTCTGAGGATTCAAAACAAAATGTCTGTGTGCCTGAGATCGGCGTAGCAACATTATTTCTTTATCTTTGATACGGACATTACGGTTTTAAATATTTATAAACATACTGCCAACCAGGGATGGGCAGTATTTCAAATACAAGTATTTGAAATACGTATTTCAAATACTTTGTGTATTTTGCATTTGTATTTAATTACAAATTGGGTAATGTATTTGACGTCTGTATTTAAATACTAAAACGTGGGTATTTCAAATACAATTGTAATTAAATACAATTTTATGGGCGAAAATACATTCCTCAAATTTATTGTCTCTATCCAGAGTAGGAAAAAAAACTATGTTCTGCACCGAATGCAGTGTCTCTCAATCAAGCACAAGCGTTTAGTGACTTTGTGATTACGGTGCTAGTCCCGGGCAAGAATAGTGAGGAAATCGACGCTCACCGGCAGACTGGCTAAATAAGTGCCTGTGACAACTTGTGATGCTTTCCAGCCTGATTTCCATCCATATTTTTTCCTGCAATATTCTAAATGCGCGGGTCGTCCAGATTTTCATAACAGGTGCGAGTTGCAACAATAAAAAATTCTCCAGCTAGGGCTGCGCGCCTTGGTCGTCCCGGTTCTTTGTTGGTCTATACCAAAATATAATTGACAAAAAAAAAAAAAAAGCTGCTTGAAGCTCTGTACTTTTTTCACCTATTACGTCCAAGCTGATTACATTTTTTTTATTATATTTCTATTACGTTACTAGAGCCTCGCACACTAACTCCCGAGTGTGCGATGCAAAATTAGAATGAGATACCCAGAAACCCGTTGCAGGTGCCCTGAGGTCACTGACGCAAATTTTGAGGACTGTATTTGGAAAAGTATTTGGAGGAGGCCACTTACATTTGGTTGTATTTGTATCTTGTAATTCAATGCTTTTTTTTAAAAATGTAATTAGATTTGTAATTAAATACATTTTGGGCGAAGTGTTTTGTATTTGTATTTCGATACATATTTGCATGTATTTTGCCCATCCCTGTATAATATATATATATATACAGGGATGGGCAGAACGCTATATATATAATATACAGAATACAGAAAGCTATATATATATATATATATATATATATATATATATATATATATAGCTTTTTGTATCTCACACATTTGTGGATATAAATTGTTTTTATCCTAAGTTTGGAAAATGAGAAACATCGCGGATAAATGGCGAATTTGAGATAATTGCTATGTGAACTGTACCATTAAAGCTCCTATAAACGCCGATTTCGCGATTACAAAGTAAATACTGAAAAATTCCCTTCGATTTTCTCCGAATATAAACTCCGAAAACAAAGCACCCTAAATGTGGGTTATAGTCCGCTGTATCCGCGTCGCCTAAAAATGTCAGTGTCCTTAACTTAAAAAAATAACATAACTACAAAAAAAAAAACTAAATGCGGTAGGCGCATACGGCTAAGCCCTCTAAAATTGGGCGGCATCTATCGCCACTTAGCTGCAGTGTTTTTAATAACAGTATTTAACTTCTGCCTAATACTCGAGACATTAAAGTTGAGCCTTTTAGTAGTTACACTTTATGCGTGATGTCGCCATCCATGAGGATGACTTCATATCTGACTACGTCATCCTCAAACGTAACTGCACTTTCCTAGGTCAATGTTTCCTCGAAGACGAAGGTCGGCGAATCGGAACGACATATACTACTAAGACCGGACAAAACAGGTCGGAGCTGATGTAGACATTCTCTGAAATATCGATGAAATCCGACATCAGACGTCACATAAAGTAGCTAGATCTTCGCGGGTGCGCAATTCGTTCTACGTTTCACCTAAAAACAAATGAAAAAAGAAATATATGTAGGGAAAATTATACCGCTAAAGGAGCAACATTACGGTTGGTAGTAGTTCGTAGGAAATTGCTACAAGTGGAATAGCGACGCGTAATTGAAGCGACTGACCTGCGTGCTACGTGAATTCTACTGTTTCCTTTTCATCTTATGTTTTTTTGTTCTTGACACGTTCCTTGTTATCGTTGCCGGCGTTCGTGCGCGGTTTGTACAAGTGGCCGCTGTCAGGCGTGCGTGCAATTCCGAACCAAATCTGTTCCGGCGTCGGCGACTTCTTCCAAGCGAGCACGCTACGCACGCTACAGTATATTCGCGGTGGGAAGCTCGCTAGGGGCGCTTTTGTTTTCCTTGCTATGCGTAGTGCACGTGCTACCCACGCGATGATGTTTTAATTGTCATAGTGCATAGAAGCTTGGCAGTGCACGTGCTTGCACCAGAAGAGGAGGTTGAAGCATCCTCACTCTGGGTTGTGAAAAACTGCCAACAGGCGGCGATACCCGAACTTCTCGCCGCGTGGTGGAACAGTGCGACGCTGCTGCGGAGCGAAAGGATCGAAATGGCAAGCGCGGTTCACCTGTTCGTTTGAAGTTGGAAACGTTGTACACGGATGAAAGTTTTCGTCCCGTAGCGCCCCCTACGAATTCCTCAATAAATAGAGAGATTTCGAAGACCGTTTTCCCCCCTTCCGTTGCGCTCTCCGGAACGAAGACTCCACTACTGCGCATGCGCGGCGATGGTCTTGACTGCGATAGTTCCGGATGTAGCGGGTTGGGGAGAACCTGGCGGGACAGCGGAAAAAGATCGAGGAAAACTCCCTAGTATTTCACGGTAGGGCTAAAATGAGGTAAGGCGTAAAGTGATTCAGCTTCGTTATTTTCCGAACATAAAAACGTTACCAGGCTAATTAAGCATTATTTAGTTAATTATTCATTTAATTAACTCAGTCGACAGATCTTTTAGTGGACTGCGTGTTCCGCAATATAGCCCCTGGCCAAAAATAAATAAATAATACATCGCCCCTTTTTTTTTTAATATTCTGGGCTTTAAAAATATATTTTATATAGAGTAGACAAGACCAGTCATGTTCCTTTTGTAGCCAGAACGCCACCGGAGGAATTTCACTATCAGGAGGAGCAAGAGGCTTGCAGTCAAAAGTGATCCAAAAAAGTGCCGAAAAGAAAGAAAAAAATCACTACGGGCGTTCGTCGTTTCGCCGTCACCTCATTTACGAAGTGTTGCAATGCGCGAATTTTCGACGCAGAAGGCTAAAGCGACTCAGTAAGAACGCGTGTGAGGATTTAATACCGCAGTAATATAATTTTTTCGAACAACAAAATTTAGGTACCGATTAACTTTCATAAAATAGAAGGCTTTTCTTTTTTTGAAACAGGAAGAAAGAGTAACGCGTTCCAGACCAATTATTTGGTACTGCGTAGAAAGCAAATCTCCTTACTATTCGAGTCACTAGCACAAAAAAGATCAAGAGCCGTCCGCATTAACAAATTTTCTATTCCATACTCACACTATTCGACGTACAGAGATCACCTGTGGAACCTAAGCACTGCAACGAAAAAAAAGATGGATGTTGTGCAAATGAGCAAATTAAGAATGAGTACATAAAGTAATTTCGGAACATTTTGTGAACACAACTTTGCCTCAAATAGTTAGGATTTCTATCCCCAAAGAAGGTCGTCTATTTCTATTTCGATAGACAGAGAAGGCCTGGTGTAGTTCTGAACTGAACGAGTTAGCCTTCCTTGAGCACTGAAGTGGGGACTTGTGAAACGTTTGCAGGCGTTGGACGTATTTATCCTGAAGTTCTACTCGAAAACTATGGAAACTAAATGTTAATTTACGAATTCGCCGAACTCTATGCAAGAGTGGGCCAGAGCCCACCATTTTGTCTTGCTTGACAGGAGAATAGCGCACGTGAAATTCATTTTAAAGTATTACAGCATTCAAATATGCAATGTAAGGAGAAAAAGAGTGTAAGAATGATGTGACCTTCTTAGGAAAATATTAATGATTATACCAAATAAAAAACAATAGAGCAGCAAAAGAACGTGTATCAACTTCATGGTCGGTTCCCAGATTGCCGTTATAGGTGGTGTTCCTAGCTAAACGTGACCAAGCAATGGCGGGCCTTCCGGCCCCAAGAGTACTTCCGGTGGTCCCGCATTTTGTGTATGTTTCAATGAGCGATAATGAGCAGCGAGTCTTTGAAGTTGTTCTTGTCGGAAAATCAAAAAAGATGTGTTAAGGAAATGATGCGCCATTAATCGATGAGTGCACCTAGATCATACGAGGCCAACAATAAGCAAGCTTGATCGTTTTATTTGGCCTTAGAGCCGAAGGTTTACTGGGCCCTAACCTACACCCCATTAGTAAATCGGCCATAAACACCAAAC